ATCCCAACACTTTTGGAGGCTAACAGGGGCGGATCACTTGAGGTCAAGTGTTTGAGACCCGCCTGGTCAACATGGTGAAACCCGTCTCTACTAAAATTACAAAAATTAGCCGGGCGTGGTGGCGGGTGCCTGTAATCCCAGCTACTTGGGAGGCTGAGGCAAGATAATTGCTTGAACCTGGGAGGCAGAGGTTGCAGTGAGCCGAGATCGCATGGCTGTACTCCAGCCTGGGTGACAGAGACAGACTCCATCTCAAAAAATAAATAAATAAAGTTAAAAAATAAAAAAGAATTCAGTTGAACTTGCACAGCATTTTTTTGTTGTCAAGCCACTCAAAACCATCTGTCTCTAGCCATCTGCAGCAGATACTTTCAAACTCCTGGAGGAGCCTTGGGTCACTGTGACCTTCTGCTCTTTCCATGAGACACACATGGGGCCCAGGCAACCTGTGAAGTCTACCCCAGAGATAAGACTGGGCATCTGCTTTACAGTTACATAGAACATATGGATCCAGGCACAAGAGAAAACTTCCATCCTCAGGTCATGACTTAGGGGGGATCTTGTGGGAAGAAGGCACCCAAACGCACTCTTTTCTAGATCTTTGCCAAGGTCCAGATCATTCCCAAAGAAGAAGCAGGGATTGCTGTAGTGAGGCAAACCATACCATGTGCTCCAGATGAAAACAGCAAAAAGAGGTGGGTAGGGTGGGTGGGTGGAAATAGAAAGGCACCACCTCCTGAGAATGATACTGGTCATGAAGGTATAGGGAAGGTAAAAGCAAACGTGTGGCTACTGGGCTGGTTTCCCTGAGAATTCTGGGTCTTTGTACCACTCGGTTCTTAGGAGAAATCCAATAAATAGATGGAAAGCCTTTGCTTCTTTAATTCCCCAGAGTGGAGCTGAGACAATGGCCTACATGCACTGCAGCCTAAATTATTCATCAGCCTAAGAGTATTTGGTTCCAGAAAAGCAGGGGTCTTTAGTGTGGTGGGGGCGGAATGAGATTGTAGAGGATTTCAGAATGAACAGGAGTGAAGGCATTCAATGAAAAACATGTAAAAAAAGGAAATAATTGAGAGAAGAAATAATCTAAAAGAAACATTGGTGAGAGGGTGGGCTTGAGGGTTTGTTTTCCTTTTTTTTTTTTTTAGCAACTGGAGAGGTTTGATCATGTTTAAATACTGATGGCAAAGAATCAGTAAGAAAGAAGCTGTGGAAGCCCCAGGAGCAAGGCTGCCGGATGGAGGGAACCCCTGAGCAGGTGGGAGAGCACAGTGGAAGGTGTGTGCTTATGGAGGAGAAGGGAAGGACAGTCCACACCACATTGAAATGACTGAAGAATGTGAGGATGGATGAAGACAAGCTGATGGACAAGTTGAAGATAAGTTGATGTGAGGATGGATGAAGACAATGGGAGCCTGGACAGTTGAGCCAATTCCCATCTGATATCTTTCACTTTCCCAGGTGGGTCAGGAGGCACAGGGAAACTGAGGAAGCCTTGAAGTAAATACGGTGGCAAGTGGAAGAGAGATGACTGAGACTCACAGAAGAATGTTCGCCCTCAGCTGAGGTTGGGGATCATGGACTGGTAGCAACTGCAACCCAAACATTGCATGATTTCCTCCAGCCATGCTCAGCAGGCCAGGTTAGGGGCAGGAAAAGGAGATGCAGATTGACCAAGATTGGCTTCTAGATGGATGGGTGGAGAAGGCATTAGAGGGCAAGAACACTGAAGACATTGGCAAGGGAATTGTTGAAATGTCTTCACTCATTCAACACGTGTTTACTGAGTGCCTGATACACGCCAAGATTTAGCCTGAGCATTGGAGACACAGTGGTGAGCAACACAGGCAAGGATTGTTCCAGTACTGTGCAGTGGAGGCAAACAAGAAACAAGAAGATAAACAAGGAAATCAGAATTTCAGATGGTGGGTAGGGGCCATGACAGACATGGTGCGACAAGGAAGAGCCTGCTGTGTTTGGGGTCATCCAGGAAGACCTCTCTGAGGAGGCTGAAGTGATCACCCCTAAGGTATAGGCAGGGTGGGGAACAAGGGCAAGTCCCTAGAGGCTGGTAGGTAGGGAGGCTGACAGTCTTGCAGTGGCCCAAGAGAGTGGGGACACTGGAAAGCCAGGAAGCTGAGGCCAGAGTGGTGCATTCATTGCACAGTCTCAGCAGTTGAGCTGTTCCTGGACCTTTAGTTGAAAGGATGATACTGGGGCTTGGTATGTTTTCTCTGCTTTTCTCAGAATTGCAACTAAGGCCCAAAGCTGAGCCCAAAAGTCCTAAGAACTCAACATTTTAAGTTTAGAAAAACTTTCAGTTACTGCACAGGCTTGCTGAGACATGTCCTTGCCAAGAGGGCAATAACAGCACAGAGAGCCCAACAACTCTGACAGCTGCTGGCTATGAGGCGGGAGACATCTGCCTTGTCACCTTCATTTAGTTCCACTCATCCCTGCCCCATAGAGGGGAGAGAAGACTCAGAAGAGAGAACCACAACTCTCCTCCATTCTAAATGGGGACCAGCCTCATGGGCTGGCCTATGCCAGGTACCAAGGAGTCCTTTAGAGGGTAGACAAAAGTTTAGAAGAGATAGGACTGGAATGAGCCCAGCCTGAGACCTGAAAGTGACTGCACTGTTATGAGAGTCATGCCGAGAAGGGGCGGAGGAGGTCCACTATTCAGTGGTAGCACTTTGGGAGAAGAACTGCTATTTTATGTCTCTAGCCCAACACGTCTGGATGCCACAAGGACTTATTTTATGGCTTTAAGACAAAGTGGCTGGAGAAGAGTGAATTGGCTACCTTGTTCCTTCATCATCCAAAAGGGGTTTATCTGGCACACAGGATGTACTCAGTTCTACAGCAGGCACTGAGGAGACAGTGGCGGGCACGGCACGCAGATCCCCACCTTCCAGGCACTTAATGGAGGAGAGAGATGCTAACACACCCAAGGAGATGATAATTTTGGTTCTGATGTGTGCCCAGCATCAGGATTGAGAGTGGTATTGGGGACAGGGAGAGGAAGGAACTCTTGTAGTTAAAGTGACCAGGGCGAGTTGGCATTTGAGTGGGGAAATGGATGGAGCAAGGGGTGAGCTCTGTGGATGACTGAAAGAGGAGCTCTCTCTGGAAGAGGATGCTGTGGGGGAGGGAATGAGCTTGGTAGAGTTGGGGATGGCTGGAGTAGCCTGAGTAAGACGGATGTGGTAGGAGATGAGGGCAGAGAGGGGCCCACCCCCGAGGCCTTTCCAGACATGGTAAGGCTTTGGAGTTCAGTCTTGGTATGAAGAAAAGTCCTGGAGGGGTGACACAATGTGACACTTTTTTTTTTTTTTTTGAGACAGAGTCTCGCTCTGTTGCCCAGGCTGGAGTGCAGTGGTGCAATCTCTGCTCACTTCAAGCTCTGCCTCCCAGGTTCCCACCATTCTCCTGCCTCAGCCTCCCGAGTAGCTGGGACTACAGGCACCCACCACCACGCCCGGCTAATTTTTTGTATTTTTAGTAGAGACGGGGTTTCACCGTGTTAGCCAGTAGTCACGATCTCCTGACCTCGTGGTCCGCCTGCCTTGGCCTCCCAAAGTGCTGGGATTACAGGTGTGAGCCACCACACCTGGCCAATGTGACACATTTTTAAGACATTCTTCTGGGTACCATGGAAGATGGATTATGCCATATAGGGCAAGAGCAGAAACAGGAGGCTGATTCCCAAGGCTGCATCAGCCCAGGTTGAGGACTGTTGGGCCTGGAAGCAGGAAGGCAGAAGAAGCGGTCAGATGGGGGATAGATTGGGATGGTGAGTCCTGCCATGTCCTGGTCTGTTGAAGTAGAAAAGAAGGTAAGATCCCAGGGTGGAAGGTGAGTCACACATGCTTGAGACAAAGAGACGGGCAGCAGGACTAGGGGCTCCCTGAAAGAAGGGAAGTGACCAGGAAACATGGTGAATGAGTGAAGATCTGCAAGGGACTCTGAGAGCAAGGAGGACCCCAACCCAAATGAGAGCATCCACTTGAGAGCAAAGGTTTCAGTGAGAGCCAAGAAATGGTGAAACTTGCTATAACTAGGTGAAGAGTGTGCATGAAATTGTTTGCAACTAATAGAGGTTCCACAGAGCACAGCGGAAAAGTTTAGAAGAAGAAGAATTATATCAGGTCCAGGGAGAAGGAAACACATGGCCACGTGAAGAGGACAGTGACCAGAGGACTTTGTTCAGCTTGTGTGAAAGACATGGATGAGTCATGGGGGAAAGAAATGACCTAGAAATGTCCACAGATCTGGACTCTGAAGTCTCTGATGGATTGGAGGAATTGGGCCTCTCTAGAAGAAGCCGGCTGCTCCTGGAAATCCTACACCAGGTGGGCTGGCAACAGGATTAGTTGGTTCTCAGGAGCTACCCTGAGTGCTGGAAATAATATTAGCTCCAGATGGATGGGGGCCTTTCTGGATGGAATCCTTCACAGCTTGTCTTAACTGTGACTCCAAGGGAATACATGGAAAAATGGCATCATGGATTCTAAAATAACTCCAAGTCAGATCATTGTATATACTTTCTCTTTCCTTTACACAACCCTTACTCACTTCTCAACCCACAGAGATATGATTTCTGCTCACTCCATTTCACCAAAACAGCTCTTGCCAAGTTCTCTAGTGGTCTCCATATTACTTGAGCCAACAGACTTTTTCAGCCCTCATCTTCCCCAACAACTCAGCCCCGTTGGCCACACCCTTCTTGGTGAAATACTTTCTTCCTTTGGATTTCTATAGTGATGTCACCCTCTCCTAACTGTGCTCCTGCCCCCAGCTACTCATTGGCTCTACGTCTCAAATCCTCATTTACATAGCCTGTAAGTGTTGGGGTGCCTTAATGCTTGATGGTAGGCCCTCTACTCTTCTCAATAACCTTTCTCCGAGGCATCTCAATCAGATCTGTGGCCTCAACTGCTTAATATAACAGAGGCATGTAATGAGTGCTGCAGGAGTGTTCAGTCGAGTACTTGACTATGGCATGTGAAAAGTAGCTTGATTTGGGGTCACTGTTATTCAGTGGAAAATGTAACCTTGGGACAGATAATGCAGCCCACATTTGAACTCTGAAAGACCATTCACTGGATTGAAAGACCGATAGGTACCAATAATTGCTGTTTATCCTTCATCAAAATTACCATTATTCCACAAGGTAAGTGCTTGTCTATACATTACAAGCCCTGTATGTATTGCCTATGCATTCACTATGTATTAGCATTTCCTACATTCTATCCATTCCCTTTATTCAAAATATTCACGCTTACCTTTTACTCAGCAGTCCACCAGGCTTTCCCATCCTCAGTAGCGTTTATTGATTGCCTTCAGGATCTATAGTAATGTTTAAAGCACTATAATCCATCTCTATCCTCAAAGATCTTGGTGGAGTATTACAATAAGCCTATTGCTTATTGTTGTCAGCTTTTCTATCAGCATCAATTAGAAAGGCATGAAGGGACCATATGTTGATCAATTACTTTATCAAGGGAACAAGTATGGAAGAATCACTTGCAAATTATCAACAATCATTAATGCATGCAACTAAAAGGAGTATGTTTTATTTTTATTTTATTAATTTTTTTTTTTTCTGAGGCAGAGTCTCACTCTGTTGCCCAGGATGGAGTATAGTGGCACGATCTCGGCTCACTTCAACCTCTGCCTCCTGGGTTCAAGCGATTCTCCTGTCTCAGCCTCCCAAGTAGCTGGGATTACAGCCGTACACCACAACGTCCAGCTAATTTCTTTATTTGTAGAGACGGGGTTTTGCCATGTTGGCCAGGCTGGTCTCGAACTCCTGACCTCAGGTGATCCACCTGCCCCGGCCTCCCAAATTGCTGGGATTACAGGTGTGAGCCACTGCACCTGGCCTGTTTTACTTTTTAAAAAATCCACAATATAGCCAACTCTCTTGTATACACAAAAACAGTGATCTGCGGTGCATCTCATGGCAACCATGCTGTTCAGCCTACTGATATTCTTTAATGAATTGTCTGCTTTGTTGACATCTGCACTCTGCAATTCCAGAATTGATCATACATTTCCCTCATAAGCCCACCTCCTCATTTCCATTAATTTTACATACTGTCTGCAGAGATAATCCGCTGTAAAGGAGGTAACACTCACCTCGGAATCAGAAGTCCTGGGTCCAAGGTCTGACCTGTAATTCACTGGGTCATGCAAAAATCTCATTTTCTTCATCGCTATATCTGCCTGAATAACCCTACTGTCTCTCCACAACCCTCAAAATAGGCAGGTGGTAAGAGTTATTACTTATTAGAAGAAGCTTTAGAAATCCAAATATTTCACCATCGTCCTTGATCAATGGAAGGTTTAAGAGAGACAGAGTCATCTATTCTCAGTAGCATGGACTGCAGGGAACTGCCTCACCGAAGACCCTGTTGATTTATTACATTAATTTATTCCAGTTTGTGTGCGGAATATTAGACATGCCTAGCTTCAGGTCTCAACCTGAAGCCATGTTTCATCCAACTAGATCTTCAGAATTATCCTATGAGATAAGCAGGGCAGGTGGTACTGTTTTGATTTCACAAATGAGGAGAGGTTCAAAGTTTAGCAAACTGAACAAGATCACACAGCTAGAAAACGGACAAACCAGGGCTTCATATTTCAAGCTTTCTAATCCCTAGTTCTTCACCTTCCAACACTTCTAGCCATAAGGGAGAAAGCAGTTCTTAAGTCCCTTTTCAGTGCAAAGAATGACAATTTAATAACCCGAGAAAGTTAATGCACCTTCCAAAAGATTCATTTCTCCCGTGTTCACAAAGAGTCAGGCAGAAATTGATTTAGAACAATCAGGAGAAGACTCAGTAAGCTTCATCTACACAATAAAAATAATACACTTAGCATTCTCATGTAACTTCACATTTTGTAGTTATTGACAATAAACAATTAAAAATTTATCTCATAGATAACCAGGTGGCTAGTATAGTTATTTTACAACACAAAACACTTAGACAGGCTTCCTTTTTATTGGGTAGAGATGATTTAAAAATCAATTTAACAATGCCACTTTAAATGTACAGAGTTTCAAGCCTCGTGGTGGTGGGATACGTCCTGGAAATTTTGGGCATTTAATTTACAATAAGCCTCAATAAACTGCCCTCATGAGATGTCCCTCATGACCAGAGGTCATACATACAGGCTGAAGCTTGGTTGTAAACAGACTTCACCGTACATTCTAGCCATTTCCAGCTTGAGACACAGGAAACTCCTCTTATCATAACCAAATGCTGACAAGTCCCTTTGACTTAGAAAGTGACATACAGTGAAATGGACCCCAGTTTAAATTCTTCTCAAGTTTGCACGGAGAGAAAGCAGTTCCAAAGCAGCCCATTAGAGGTATTTGTCTGCATGCATAAGACATTAGGCAGCCTGACATGACTCGATGTTTGCAAAGGGAAGGATGGGTTTGAGGCAAGAGGATTTTGTATATGCAAAGTGGTACAGGCCAAAAGAGCCACACATGTAACTGCTTTACATACAGCTGGCCAGGTCTTTGCTTGGCTGCAACTAGCTGATTTTTTATGAATGTTAAGTTCATGGGCAAATGAATAGATGATCCAAACCTACCTTTTTAATTACAAAATGCTTTTTCCTCCCCCACAATCAGAATTCTACTCATTTCAGCACTGAAAAAAAAATGTAATCATCGTAATTCCTAGTAGCTTGCTTCTGTTTCCGCTTCAATAGATGCCCCGTAGATGGGAAGTCACATAACAGCTCCATGTCCTATCAAGTTGCTTCCACCCGAAAACAGCTGCAATGCTTATCTAATTAAACCCCAGCACCAAACTGTGAGCTTCTGCATCAATCATTAATATTGTATTTTGGATCATTTTAAATTCTGACTGGGGTAGGTGGCTCCCCACGCACTGGTCTCTGAAGGAGATTTTTCAAATAATCTTTAAGTGGCATTGAAAAAATAAAACAAGCTTCCTGCTGTTTGAGGAAAGCTCTGCCATCCTGCTGCACCCTGATTAGCTGTTAACACTAATTGAGAGATGAATATTGCTTATTCCAAAAATGCTAAAGATGGGTTTTTTTAATTATGAAAAGGAAAACGCAGTTCTCCTCACCTCAAAAATGTGTCTGTGGCTCCTTGCCCAAATTCTAAACAGCGCCAAAAGAATGGTGGTTTCTGGGTCTCTGGTCTACAGTTTGCAGAGTGATTATCCCGAATCACTTCTTTTCTCTAGGTGGCCCTCCAGAGTTAGTGAACCGTGACCTCCACGTGGGATTTGCACATGCGAGCCCTGCATCTGGAATGCAGAAACACTCTTCATAGAACTCTGATGGCCCAGAAATATTCATGGAAATCTCTGTCGTGGTAAGGCACATGTTGATGTACTTAGGCTTAAGCTCATAAACCGAGAGGAACAGTTTCCTACATCCCTCTTCTAATGACTAAAGCCAACGGCCTGAGCCAAATGGGACAATTTAGAAAAAGAGAGACTGGCGAAAACCAAATGAATCTCTGCTTCCTTCTAGCATTCTAGGAAAAATACCAAGCGGCTGTGCCAACGTGCACTGCTTGTCTTTGTTAGGAAAATACACTCAAAATCAGGGGAATCAGTCAGTCCCAGGTTCAGGAAAGATGTATGCAAGAGGGACTCCCTGATGAGGAAAAATCGACTACAAAAACACAGCATGCACCCAGCTCAGCATAAACACAGCTTAAAAATCACAAGGAACTAGGAAGAAGTGCAGAATCCCGAGGTTCTCATTCTTGTTCCCATAAGCCGGGATTGGCTGAGACTTAGCCAGGATACCACCTGGCAATACAGCCACATCAGCTAAAGAGATGAGGAACCTGAGAGGAAACAAATGTGAGGAAGAGGATGATTCAAGAGGACCAGAAAAACAAGGAAAGGACAGAGGTCCTAGGATATTCACTGCAGGGAAGACAGGCTGAAAGATTTAGGAACCAGTTGAAAGTCAACATGCTGGAGCCTCGCGAAGGGTGGAGTCAGGGATCTCTCCTGCTATTATTGTATCAGCAGCCTCACAGCTACCCTCAAACCTGAAATTTGTGTTAGATTTAAACACAGTTGATAGAGTCCTGCCCATGCTACTTCCCTACTATCTCTGTGTTTCCTAGAACCAAGGCACACCCCTCCTCATGGCTCTCCCACTGCCATCACATTCTAAGCATATGTCCAGTCCTAGGGAGCTATAAGACCTTGAGTGTATTGGTGAAACTCTCCAAGTCTCATTTCCCTCATCTGTAAAATGAAAATAGTGGAATATATTTATTCTACTAAAAAACTGACATTTTTAGTACTTCCTACATATCAAGTTAAATGTGTAAATGTGGGGGGTTTTTTGTTTTGTTTTCTTGTTTTGTTTTTTGTGGGGTTTTTTTTTGTTTTGTTTGTTTTGTTTTGTTTTGTTTGAGACAGAGTCTCACTCTCTCACCCAGGCTGGAGTGCAGTGGCGCAATCTCGGTTCACTTCAACCTCCATCTCCTGGGTTTAAACAATTTTCCTGCCTCAACCTCCCAAGTAGCTGAGATTACAGGCACACACTACTACACCTGGCTAATTTTTGTATTTTACTAGAGATGAGGTTTCACCATGTTGGCCAGGCTGGTGTTGAACTCCTGACCTCAGGTGATTCACCCGCCTCAGTTTCCCAAAGTGCTGGGATTACAGGCATGAGCCACTGCGCCCAGTCAAATGTGTTTTGATATATTAGTATTATTCTTGTCCTACAGCACAATGTGGAAAATGTTATTTCCACTACGCAGATGAGAAAATGCAGGCCACAAAACTTTCCCAACGCTCCCAAAGTCATCCAGCAAGAAGTACCACAATCAAAATCTTCTTATCCTTGCCAAAAAAAAAAGAAAGAAAGAAAACATAAATAAAAGTGGAACAATAAGAATAATAAAAAAGAGTGAGGGAGACAGAGAGAATCTGGAGGTACTATAAGAAGAAGAAACCTAAATCTAATTTATCTCACTTTGAATAAAGGACAATTTGTAAAATTTAGCAGTAAAGACTGTAATATGCTTGAAATTTAATAGACTTGAGAGATGTAATAAGAACAGCCTTTTTTGCAAGTGTTTATTTTCTAATAAACAGGAATCAGGAAATTTGCCTCTGGGCAGTTTTTCCCCACAACTAGTAATTGAAAATGTGAAGTTAGCAAACAATTCCTTTACCACAAACATTGCTCTTTTATTCAATTGTTCATGAAAGAGAAACATCTATTGATTCCCATCTATGCGCCAGGCATCGTGCACTCCATTTGCCAGGCATGCAGTTTAGAGCCAGACAGTCTGGTATCTGAGCTTTAAAGGCCAAGAATCAAGTGTTTATGTCTGGCATGTTGTAATTAATTAAACCATTTTTCTGCAATAATTGCAGCGTCTCAGAATACAATGCGTTTGGTGACAAACTCACTGGATTCAAAGAGAAGTTGCTGTGGGATTTCTGCAAGACCAGAGTCTTAGAGGAGACGGTGCCCAACTCCAACTTGTTCACTCTTGGAATGCCGGGCACCAAACATGGTGCCTGGTCCACTGCAGACAGTTGGTTCTTCCCACGTGCCATGCATTTGACTCTCTTAGGGAACTCCTTTAAAACAGAGGTATCAAGCACCCGCTCCTCCCCAGAAGATGCTCATCCTGTTGGTGGAAACAGGACCATGATGAGATTTGTTTGTATTCTCCATGGGTGAATTTTTTTTTTTTTTTTTTGAGATTGAGTCTCACTCTGTCGCCAGGCTGGAGTGCAGTGGCATGATCTTGGCTCACTGCAACCTCTGCTTCCCAGTTCAAGTGATTCTCCTTCCTCAGCCTCCTGAGTGGCTGGGACTACAGGTGCGCGCCACCATGCCCAGCTAATTTTTGTATTTTTAGGAGAGATGGGGTTTCACCATGTTGGCCAGGATGGCCTTGATCTCTTGACCTTATGATCCGCCCCCTCACCCTCCCAAAGTATTGGGATTACAGGCGTGAGCCACCACCCCTGGCTATACATATCCAGTGACAAGAACCACTCAATGTGAGCTTTATGCATATTTTTCAATGTATAAAAAAGTAAATCAGGCCAGGTATGGTGGTTCACACCTGTAATCCCAGAACTTTGGAAGGCCAAGGAGAAGATTGCTTGAGCCCAGGAGTTCTAGGCTACAGTGAGCTATGATCTTGCCGCTGCACTCCAGCCTGGGTGACAGAGTGAGATCCTATCTCTAAAAACAAACAAACAAGAAAGAGTGAACTAGCATTATTAAAGTAGGTAGATACTATACTTTTTAAAACCATGTGACACCCTTATGGGTATAAATTCTAAAGCAAGAAAGGGATAGGAGGAAGTGTTGGATTAACATTATGTGTAGGGGCAATATATACTATAATAGGATAAAAATCTTACTAGAAGAGGGAAGGAACATGGCATCTCTTAGGGTGAACATGAGGACCTTTTTTAACACCTAAAATAAAAGTTTAAAATAACATTTTTTTGGCTACGATTAAAAAGTCAAAAAAAAAAAAAAGCAAACAAACAGATGCTGACAATGTTGTGGAGAAAAAGTAATGATTACGTGCTGTTGGAGGCAGGGGTGTAAATTAGTTCAACCATTGTGGAAGACAGTGTGGTAATTCCTCAAAGACCTAAAGACAGAAATATCATTCGACCCAGCAATCCCATTACCAGCTATATACTGAAGGGAATATAAATGATTCTATTATAAAGGCACATGCATGTGTATGCAGCACTGTTCACAATAGCAAAGACATGGAATCAACCTAAATGCCCATCAGTGGTAGACTGGATAAAGAAAACATGGTACATACACACCATGGAAGACTATGCAGCCACAAAAAAAGAATGAGGTCATGTCATTTGCAGGGACATGGACAGAGCTAGAGGCAACCATTCCTCGCAAACTAATGCAGTAACAGAAAACCAAACACTGCATGTTCTCACTTATAAGTGGGATTTAAATGCTGAGAACACATGGACACATGGAGGGGAACAACACACACTGGGGCCTATTAGAGGGTGGAGGGTGGGAAGAGGGAGATGATCAGGAAAAATAACCAATGGGTACTAGGCTTACTACCTGGGTGATGAAATAATCTGTACGACAAACCCCCATGACACAAGTTGACCCATGTAACAAACCTGCACATGTACCCCTGAACTTAAAATTTAAACAAAACATTTCTTAGACCCCTATAGTATAGGTAGCATTTATGTTTATTTTCTTTGTATTAATAGATAAAAACATACCTCTATGAATTTGATAATGCCTTTAATTAATTTGAGTTCTATTAAGTGTCTACTTACATTTTTAAAATACTAACTCATACATGTGCAAAACGTTATTTATTCAGCCTACAGATACTGCTTAGTAGGCACGTGGACTCAAGAAGAAACTCATGATACACATGGTCTGCATTTCACAAACCAAAGACGTAGACCATCTAACTAGTAGTAAGACTAGAAGGAAATTTTTCAACATGAGGAAGAGGCAAAATTAGACTCTTTAGTGGTAAGGAACATTTTAAATTTCTATGTAGTGGCAAAATCATTCGCCAGGACCAAATGCAAAAATGTGTGGTGTTTTCTTATAAGTTACCATTTTATAGAATAAGTAATTTTAGCATGCCTAAGGAAAAGAAATAAATTATATAAGATTTGGAGCAATAAAAACAGGATGCAGAGAATAACTGAGGTAGAACAACTTTGCAATATTTGTAAGATTTTCTCAGAATGGGATTAAACTTAACATGATAATATCTGAAGAGACAAGGCCAGGGAGAGAAAATCCATTTGATTATTCCATTTTGGGAAGTGGTTAGGGAAGTACAATCAAATGCATAGCTAAAAAAGGTAAAAAAAAAAAAAAAAAAAAAAAAAAACACAAATCCCGTAAGCCAAAAGACCTTTTTATAAAACTTATTGATAAATGTACACCCAACATCAAGATCAAAAAGAGGTTCTTAACTAGAAATCATTTGTTATTAACAGGCAAAGTAAAAGAGGCTGTTATATAGAAAACAGAAAAAGCATCTTTTATCATTGGATGGATAAGCTGCTGATACCTGAAGGTCACATAAGATCAAAATGTAAAAATAGCAACAAATGTTGCTGGACTTCCTTCTTTTCCAGGTTTTGCAACTTAGCCCTCAGTTGTTCTCAGGAAATTACATTTCTCTAAAATAAATATAGTGATAAGATTAGGATTCAACAACACCCAAGGCTCTCATATTACTATTACACCTTTCTCTGTGCACGCCTCGCAATATTATTGGCCATTTAAAATGGATTCTCTTTTAAGGGGGCATATCTAACATTCTGCAATATCTGCCTGTTTATATGGACTCCAAATCACCAAAAATCCCAAGCAATCAGACTCGTCCTCATTTTCTATTCAGCGACAATCCCCAAGTCTTTTTCTCTGAATGTCGGTCAAGATGTTCCTCAAAAATGAGGAGAGGAGGGATTATGATTTGGATAATTCGCATCTTGAAGATTCTCAGAAATCCTACATTGAAAACATCTGTTTAGCCTTGTTCGTCCCATTATTTCTCACATTTATTTGACCTCAGAGGCCCTTTATCATGTAACATTGGTTAAAATTCCACAGAAACAGCCTTCCAGGCACATACTTTGGACAGTCTAACTCTTTATGACCCTGAGACACTCTGAAATTGACTGCTCTGGTCCACCAATAGATGCTGAGCTTCGACATCGCCCAGGAACTGGTCGAGCTGCTGGGGATACTGCGGTGAACAAGATGAGCACAGTTCCAGGTCCCCCTGGAGCACACTTTCTAGCATATGACGGAGTAAATGCACCTGACGGTTTCAGGGGAATCTGAGAATAGTGATTTGAATGGGAGCAGGATGTCCCTTTAGACAGGATGGGCACAGAAAGCTTCTTCCCGAGGTGATGTTTGAGACCTGTTCACTCTTGTTTTAATACTAAATAGACTTTTCCAGTTGTTTGAAAATCACTGATTGAAAAGTAGTAATGCAAGATTTGTGTTTTAGTAATTTTCTGTTAATAAAAAAGTCAATTAAACAACGCTCATTCCCCATCCATCCCATTTAAATAGGCATGCATTGCATATGGGTTAAAAACGTGTGTCTACTGGGATCTTACACTCAGTTCTCAGAGCAAGTGCACAGGGAACATCTCCGAGTCACAGCGTAAGTGGTAAAACAGTGTTTCTGACACAGCCCAGAAGTTCATCCACACAGAAGGCACTGAAACAATTCCCCCTTTTTACTCTTTTTTAAACAGGATACACACACATAATTGGACACCAGGAAACTCCTGTACGGCACATTGACAATGAATAGTTGTCTTAGTGGCTTATAATTAAGGAGAGTGATAATGCTGGGAATTTAACTTTGGTGATACTTAACTCTGAAATACTTTCCACTAGCTCGATCCCTGCTGATTGCTTATTAAAATGACTCCTGAAACTCCCAGGAATACAACATGGAAGGCTGAGTAAATGCTTTTGTGTTGTGAAGATACTCTTTAATGAAATACTTCTTCCCCACAGCAACAGACCTACTCTATAATCCAGGAAAATGGTTTTAATAAATGCTTCGATAATCATCCTCATAATGATCATTGTGTTATTGGTTAAAATGGTGTTGCATAATAAAACCCCCTTCAAAAAGGTTCTAAAAGACAAGGTACTAATTCAAAAGAAGGTGGTGGTGGTTGTTTTTAATTCCAACATGCTTCTGGGAGATCCACTTAAACATTTGCAATAACAGTGGAAAATCTTTAAGCAGACCAATGAAAATTTTCTTCTTATTGTGTTTTGAGTAGTCAAATTGCACCCAGTATTGTAAAATCAAAGTGCTTT